CCCCTTCCCTCTCCTCCCCTCCCTCCCTCCTTTTCTTCCCTCCCCTTCCTTTCCCTCCCCTCCGCTCCCCCTCTCTCATTCTCATGCTCACCTAGATTTAGACCCTTTACTTTTCCTTCACTCCCAGTGCAGCTGGTCATCAGCTCTTGCCCGTCACTCTGCATTTGTTGCATCTGTTCTTCTTTCCACTGTTGAGCTGCATCCCTCGTCCCTAAATTGCTGTAACTTTTCCAGAGCAGCTTTCTTCTTCACTCTAATCTATCCCACAGGTAACTACGAGATTTGTCTTCCTAGTGATGTTTTTAATCACAATAAGCCATTTAATGTAACATAGTTACTTAGTTAGTATTAGGTAGAAAGTCCTAACCCTAAGGTCTCAGCCCGCAGGCAGCAGCCTTTGCAGAAGTTCTGCATTTCTTCTGGTCCCTTCCTCCCCCGTGACCCCCTGCACCTGCTGCCGTCAGCTTCTCATCCCTGTGCACTTGCTGATGACCACCTGGTACTTCCGGCCCTGAACCCCTCCGGTCTGTCCTCAGCCACTTCGTGATGTTGCCTGTCTGAACCACGTCCCCCGTAGCTGTGCACCTCCTAAGGGATGGTTTCTTGTGATACCTTACAGAGAGAGTTTATTTGCATATTTTGCTAGGTACATTGTGATTATTTTAATTTGTGTATGTTTTGTCTTTCCAAGCAAATTAAAAATTTTTAGAAGATGCAGATTGCCTCTTGATTTTTTTAAAACTTTGTATTTAATACAAGTTAAGTGTTAAGCAGTGCTCAGGAAAGCTTGTGCAGGTTTAAATAGGAAAGCACTCGGTGGACCTTTAGAGGACTGGGTGGAATACGCCACACACTCCACTTTTGTGTGGGTGAGAATTGAGTTCACTATGTATGTGCATTTGACTGGAGGAAGATAGAACTTTAAAATAAATTACTTCCATATAATTCAGCATTCTTTGTTAGTTTAATTGGATGTCAGCTGACAAAGTAGGGAATATAAATTTCAGATCTTGAGTAATACATAATTTAATTGCAGTAATTCGTGCACACATATCCTTCAAAAGGAAAACATCGTTCAACTTTTTGTTGCTATTATTATTATAGTTTTTTTCTTTTGAAATTTGGACTAGAAAATTAAGTCTTATAAAAATTAAAACTTCCCTATAATAAATGCAATGTTTCTTCCTGTCTGAAGATTTTAGTTCGAAGAAGCAGCAGCCCTGCTGAGCTGGATTTGAAAGATGATTGGCAGCAGATGCAGGGAGGATGTGGGGAGAGACCCAAGAGTAAGTTCTGGGACTGCTCTGTGTTCGTCCCCTGCAGGGTGGGGGTGTCTCATCTAACTGCGTGATGTCCTATCAGGTGAAGAGCAATGGTTGGGAAATGGGACACTTTCACCCCTGGAATCCCTGGGTTGACGAAAGTTAATCCACACATATAATAAAACAGTCTTGTTCAGTTACTCAGGCCTGTTAGTTCTGTCTTTCTAACTCTAGGCCTTTCTTCAGGTAAGAGGCACAATAGATAGTGGTGGCTTGTGGGAGCGGACAGGCTCAAAAGGGAAAATTGCCTTTCTCTGGAAGCTCCCACAGGCTAAGAGTGAAAAGCTTCAGAAGTATATTGATGTCAGTGTGATAAGTACTTTAAAATAAAATGTGATTGGAATCCTGATAAATACTACCATAAGCTGTAAAATGGCCCATAATACTCCGCTTTCCTGAAGTCAGTGCCGGGCCACCTCCTCCTCTAGGTAACGTGGTAAATGCTGCTTCTTGCTGGGGCAGAGGAGCTCTCCTCATGCTTCACCCTGCTGGCTTAGGGTTCTGGGCTAGATGAGGTTTGGGACCCACCAGAGTGGTCATGTGGTTACTGAGACAACTTTCCGTTCTTTGCAAGTGAATAAAGGGCAACAGATTGGAAAGCGTGAGGCTGGGAGGCTGTCAGCAGCAGATGCAGAGGGCAGTGGCGGGGTGAGCAGGCAGAAGGGTCCCCAGTAAAGAGATGCTGCGGAGCAGAACTGTGCAGGTTTGTTTATGGAAGACCCAGTAGCTCAGCCGCTTTACGTCATTACATTTTAGAACTTGTCTCAAAGCAGAATTTCTATTGTGGAAAATCTATTGTATTGGGACACCTCCCCCTAAGTGAGTCACCCTGAGTTAGGTCAACAGCATGTTTAGACTCTGCTACGTGGTGGGATAAACTTGTATTGGGGATGGAATCACTTCCCGCCTTTTCTTCACTCACTCTCATTTTCTAAGTCTCAGAAAACTTGAGGACTTGGTGCAGTCTTTGGGGCATATGGGATCCTGAGTGAAGACACTTTGAAAAGACTGCCAGGTGAATGGTACAGATTGGTGTGTGTCGTGACTCTGAAAGTCTTGTACTTGGAAGATAGATTTTGTTGACCACCTGGGGACTTTCTGAGCCCTTGTCAGGTTTTTCAGGTTCTGCTGCCTCAGCTGTTGAAGTGTTTAATTGTGTATCCTTAGTTGTGGACATTCAATGTTCAGCTGTTTGTTATCTCAAACTTTGCTTCTTCCACTGTGCCAGGTGAAAGTACCAGCAGTGACACGGCTCTGGGCTGTAACAACGAGGCAGAGCTGTCCACGAACCCATGGCAGGCCTCTGAGGAAGACCCAGAGCTGAACACTCCCACCGATGTCGTGGCTGACTCTGATGCCCGCCAGTGGTTGCAGCTGAGTCCCACTGATGTTTCAAACTTAACAGGTAACAGCATATTTGGAAAAGAAGCACTACTGCAAACAACTGGGGGATAGCAGAGTTTCTAAACTGCAAGAACTCTAAGTGCTGGGAGTGCCACCTCCAGCTACTCTGGTGTAGCAGCCCCAGCCAGCTGTTCATGATGAGTCCTGAATTCTTGGCGTGCTGTATTTAAAGGGTTCTAAAACAGTCAGGAGGGGAAGCATGTCATGCTCATGACCTCCGCGTGCCACAGGGAGAAGCGATGGTATTCACATCAAGCATTTGCCACCCCCGATTACATTTTCTCTGTAAAGAGAAGAGTGATTTTTCCAGCTTACATATGTCATAAATCCAGGATAGGTTAAGGGATTTAGATAGCTTATTGATTAATATATTTTTAAATTTTATTGTATAGTATTAATATTTGATACAGACAACATGCGGTGTGAAATTTATAGTATGTGAGTTATGGGGCACAGTAACAAAATGAAAACCAGGGAGTCTACGGCCCGTCGTAAGAGCTGGAACAGCACCTGAGCTAGCGAGTGCTCCAGAGCCTTTCCCATCCTTCTATTCTCCTGTCACCCTGGCCTAACCTTGCTTTGTGCTACTTCCCTGGATTCATTACAGTATCAGCACATATGTATATCCTTAACAGTGCATCATTTAGTTTTGTTCTGGAACTTAGAAATGTCATTCTCTATATATTTTTATGCTCAGTATTATGTTTCTAAGATTCATGCAAGGATTACAGAGCAAAACACGTTGGGTCTGTATTTAGACTCTGCCAAGAAATTGTTGGGTGGTCTTGAGCTAGTTACTTAATCTCTGTTCTTCAGTTGCTTTGCCTGATGATGATAGTCCCTCCCTCAAGGTTGGTAGAAGAATAAATGAGTGAACACCCGTGTGAGGTACACAGGGCAACGTGTATGGAGGAGTCCGCAGTGTTACCTGTTCACATGTGCACAAACTGTGTGATCCTGGGTCAGTGAACCTCACGAAACCTCAGCCCCCTCACTCAGCATCGAGAGCAGGCTGATGAGAATGAGGACACCAACCAAGAGATGGGTTTTGTTTTGCTTTGTCAATGGGTGGAAAGAGACTAATGCTCTGAGGAGCTCAATGTGGGAAATGGTGACCAGAGCCAAGACCGTCTGGGTGTCACATTCACGCTCACACACAGATGTCCTGTATGAAAATAATCACTGCCACAAAGTAAAAATACGGCACATGTTAAGTAAAGGGTTTTATGAAAATGCCAAAAATTGCTTTAAAATTCTAAAGACTAGTATTTTACCTTAAGTAAATATTTTTACTAAGCAAACCGGTTTTCTCTATGATATAAAATTTAACTGAAGTCTTTGATATTTTGGGAAATTTGGAGTAACATTAATCCTTATAAAACTAACATGTAAGAGTGATTCTGGATAAAATTTTTACAGAATAGGCAAAGATTTTGATTATGATACTAAGTTTATGTAGGATCTAATAGTTTACAAAGAACTTTGAGGCATCCTTTTGGATTCTGTGTAGGGAGCAGACCAAGTCTTACCATCTCTGTTTCAGAGATAAGGAAACTAAGACCCCAAGAAATGGTGTTATGGAGCTAGAGAGTAGGTCCCAGAGAGGGAGCAGCTGGCTTCAAAGGGTGTTGACGCCACTTGTACTGCTGTGTGCACTGTGCCCACTACTTTGCGTTAAAATCACAATGCTAAAAGCCCTTCCTTTGAACTACTTTGGAGTCGGTACAGATTATCCAAGAGAAACTTACCATTGTGGAGCTATAGAAGACAATTCTGGATCTTCAGTAAGTTGAATTTACTTAAACACGAACTATTTTTAATTATTTTTATTGAAAGTAAGGAAAATTAGGTGATTACTTCTTTTGTCTGTCCTTTGGAAGGATTAGTTTTGATCCCATTGGAGAGTATGCATCGGACAGCTCAGTGTAATAAGCTTGTGTGAGGTAATTTTATATGATGCCTTCTACCTTGTGATTAACTCCTCCAAATACTTAGTTTTCTTTGAAACACGAATATAGAGAATCAGTACACTCAGTTCAATAGTTCATCTTGTCATCTCTGAAAAGGACACACTGGAACATGATCAGGCTTTAGGATTATCACAGTTCTGAATTTAACTTTCTGTTCTTAAGAGAACAATTTCTTCATTAATGTACAAAATAAAACTCATATTGGCCTAGGACCAATCTACATTGGTCTACATTAATGTACAAAATAAAACTCATATTGGCCTAGGACATGCAAAGAGGAACCATTTGAGTGTGTGTTTGTTTCTCACTGAATAAGCTTACCAGTTATCAAATGCTTCTAAAATCTTAAATTCTTTCATCCTCGGCAAGCTAACAGTTTAGTTTTGTATTTGCTTTCTCATTTAAATCTCATCCTGTTTGCTGAAAATAATAGTTAAATTCATTGTGCATTGCCTGAGATTTGTTTTAATAAGATAGTCATGGAGCCGTGGAAATGACTGTGAGGGAAGAAGTTAATACTCACAGGTCTCTAGAAATGGGCCAGACAGGGAAGTAGCAGGGTCAAACAGGAGGCAGAAGGAACCAAACATGGGCAGAGCCTTTACTGTCACTTCTATTGGAAAGTGACAGTGCCTTGCAAGACAAGGCAGAGTAAGCAGAAGGATGGCTGGTGTGAGCAACGTCAGTGGGTTCTGGGCGTGGGTGGGTGCAGATTGAGGATGGCTGGTGTGAGCAACGTCAGTGGGTTCTGGAGCATGGGGGGGGGTGCAGATTGAGG